TGAAACATTGAAAGTAGTGTAATAATATTTGTTTTAAATTACATTCAATAATTCCATATCAGAATAGTTTTATTAGGTAACTACATTATAGTACCATTGATTTTCTATTAGAGTTRAAATCTTATCATTATTCAAACAATTTTCAATTGGAAACTTCTCAAGTCAATTTTGAAGTACTTAACGTTATTCGAAGAGAACATTTCTTGATAAGCATTTAAATTTGAATGACGTCATACAACCTCGACATTGTCAGGTTCGCATTACATGAGTGACACCCAAAATAATGGCGTACATTGTTCTACTAATTCTCTATTTTCTTATGTTGTGGTAAGGTAGGCGTTTTCTGTTACGAGATTTATAATTAGTCAACCCTTCGTTTTATACGACTAGCAGTCCAAAGGGTGTCATTCATTACTTRCGGCAATAGATCATATTACTTTCTCCTCATTTCTCAGCTTCTATTTGCCGCCATTCATTTTCATCTCTATATGTTCCAGAGATAAATGATTTAGAGAAATACATCCTTTGTTATAATTAAATGGACTATATATTTGGTTATTAACATTTTTTACTGTTTAATAATATAAAATCACAATTTATACGTAAGTATTAAAGGGCCATTTTTAAGGTCAATCTATACCAAACAGAGTAACTTGCACCGTTAACTTAATGATAAAACGCTTAAACATTGTCCTCCCTATGTGATATTGTTCACAACCATGATAAAGATGCACAGAAACTGGCTTCTTGCCTTTGTGAAAAATCTCAAAAAATAATAATAAATATAGTCCATTGTAAGCTTCAACAGAAAACAATTATCTTTAATACACCTCAATCGTTAATCATTAGACCCCAGTCAGTACTGTCTGTTATACTAGTCATTCTACTGTTATGTATATAGAGAATATCACATAATTTAGCCTTTTTTTTAAATCATCGAGTGTAACGAAAATATACTTTTATACAACATTTTTGAAACATTTATGTTACGACAAAATAAAAATATTTTCYTTGAATTTAAGCATGATTCGAGCTCATAATGTTTTCATATTTACTATTAGTAGTGATATGGTATTTATTATAGTAACTACCTAATTTAAGCTGTATTCTATAGACAAATAT